GACACCGTATGTGGTACTACATGTGAACTTCTGCTAATCTCGAGGACAAAGCCCCTCGTATAATTATAATAGAACTTCACTTCAGGTAAGTTCGTTTAATTAATAAATACATGATACAATAATTGAGATAACCTCTAAACACAACATATTTAATAATGTTCAAGTTTATTTTTACTGTAGAATCTTTTTTATATATTTTGGTATGGTATTAATTGGTAATTGGTATTAATATCAGAACTAAAGATGTACTTAATGTTCGATAATTCGTCTACGGGAAGCGTCTATCAATGTCTAAATTTAACCCAAACAGTTATTCCTGCTTGATTTTAGCAAATTACGAACATTCAATAACATACATAATAATTAGAACAAGAAATATCTAAAAACGTCTTTAGGTTAATTTCCACAAACATTTGTTTACGTACATAACATATAAAATGTTATAAATGCTTTATTTGATATGTAATAAGATAGTCAATATAACAAAAAGTATTGGAAGTGTAACATGAAAATATAATAAAATTACCTTATTAAGTTTCATAGATTTCATAGATTTCTCAGAAGAAAACATCAACTATTGAACTTCGACAAAATTGCTAACTGTTATAATAGTCTTGATGGCACAAATTCACTAAAACTACACTATACTTACTAAATAATATATGAAACTAACTGAAACTCATTTAATATTTCTCTAGAAATCAATATTTTATAGTACGATAACATATTTTTGTTTTTCGTTGTTTTAAAATGGCCGACAAAGAGTATATAAGTCGTTGGTATCTGTAACTCCCCCCCAGTTTAACAATTTAAAAACAACGTAAATTTCATATTTTTAATTTCATAATTCACTTAACAAGATTAAATTGTAATTTTTTTGGTTTAATTACTTTTAATCTATCAATCGATCAATTAATTAATTTTAAAGATATGATACATTTTTATTTTATAGTAGAGCAGAAAGTATAGAGCAAATCAATGAGTGAGATAGATATAAATTTAAGAGCGAGATGGGGATTCTGCGTTACCGTATTTTTAATGAAACTGACAACCAACTGTCAACTGTCAAAAGTGTTGCGCCTGCCTGGTCCCGACTCTTATTTTATATCCTCTTTGGAACTGGATAGAGAATGGCGAATGTTAAGAAATATTGATTTTTCTTTCAACCAAAACAAAACTCTCGATATTATCGACTTTTGGAAACATGTATAAGAATTAAGAAATGGAGACAAATCTCAAACATTTCCCATATTGTGTGAATTGTAGATTGAGATCCCAGACCAGGATGACGACACCTATATTCTAAAACTTTACTGTTATCTGATTAGATAGTACTCGTTTGTGATGTAACTGAATGGACATTAGTTATCCTGTCCAATGGGGCAGTTAAATGAAATGAAATTAAATAACATTTAATCCTATGAATACTACAACACAATTAGAAATGACAAAAAACAACAACAAAGTAATCAAATAAAAAAATTTATTAAAAAACGTTATTAAATGATAAATATATATATATATATATA